TTTTTTTGTTTTTTTTTTGAAATGTGTAAAAATAAAATAAAACAAGTAAACGTACCTTGCATGGGTTGCCTCCCAAGAAGCGCCTTATTTAACGTCGCGGTACGACACCATCATTGTGTTCAGTCATTCAAACTTGGATCATGATAGTTTATCTTTTTCACACTTTCACTCCTAGGACGTTCATAGGAGTGCTCAACTTCTCGACTCTTCAATTTGGGAATTTTTCCAGGATCAAATATCCAGATTGTCATTGATTCATGCGGTGGGAGGAAAGAGAAGAAATTATCATTTACTATGGTCAATGAAAAGTTTTTCGATCCCTCAATTTTGAAGAGGATTTCAGAAATGTCATTGTGCTTTCCAAGTTTATGAGTTTCCCTCAAAATTTTTAGAATTGATGGGGGTACCTCAAAAGATGACAAGTATAGATATTTAACCTTGAAGCTCAGATTATCCTCTTCTTTGACTAGTTGGAGCTCCGTGTCTTTTTCTTCCTCTACTTCTCCTGGATTCTGGATCTCCTTTTGCATGTCCTCTTCATTTATCAATGTGATTGCGAAAGTTTGCTGTCTAGGATCACATTCTAGTTGAGAAGGAGGTTTTTCTGAATCCCTTGCTTCAAGCCTACTTACGACTCTGACTATTTGACTCATTTGAGTTTCCAAGTTCAAAATGCTAGACTTGGTCTCATTTTGGAATTGCACCATGTTTTGTTGCATGGCGGTCAGACTGTTAGTAAGAGCCCGAACCATGTCCTCTGTGGACATATTAGAGTTGGAGAATGGATCATACCTAATGTGATGTACATCATCAATTTGTGCAAGGTATTCTTCTTGGAGCTTTGGGCAGAAGTCCGTAAGATGTCTGTGAGACATGCAAATGTTGCATGTCTTGGCATCTTGAGCTTTTGAGTTAAAGATAGATTCCTTTATTAGAGAAGTCAAGAAGGAAATTTGACTCTCTAAGGATGAAGTGTTGGTATCCATATACTCATAACTCATGTGAGCTCAGAAAATAGAAGAGCAAGATTTTTTTTATATATATTTTTTTTTGTTTTTTATTTTTATGAGATAAAATAAAAAGAAAAGTAATTGCCTTTCCCCGGCAACGACGCCAAATTTGACGAGCACTTTGTCACGGTGCGTCAAAATAATTTTCAATACCAACACTTATACGTAGTATAGCGTAGTAGAGTTCGTATCCACAGGGAAAGGAATAATTCTCTTTTTATGAAACTTAGTAAATAAAGGGGGGATTTGGATTGAGTTATTTAATTTAATTAAGAACCAAGATGAACAACCTATATGTGTTTAATTCAAAGATAAAAAGGACTTGACATTGCTACTTTCCACTTGTTGATATATTTTAGTCGATCATTGTTATATCTATAACTTATTCCCTCTCGAATACTCAATCAGGGAGTATATCCACTTCATCGAGGGTAGTTATTAACAACGACCATTCATTAATAACCCTTACTATTAATCAAATATAGAACAACGCCTTATACCGATTTAATAGTAGCATTTAATCTTTCTAACTCCTTGATGAAATCAATTGAGATTGATAACCTCGACACAACGGTTTTGGTTTAACCAACAAAATTGATCCCTCTTAAGTTTATTAACCACGACCGTGCATTAATAAACCGAAATTACTTACTTGTGAAAGCACCAACGATTAACCATCGGTTCGTTGATCGTTTCTAGTAGTAATTAATATATGAAACAAAACTAGTTGATCCTTTAAGTAATGTTCAAAATATTAATATGAAATATGAGTAGGAATTAATTAATATTCAAGGAAGAATATTATTAAAGAAGATGAATCCTACTATAATTGATATCAAGATGTTAACTAATTGTCATCTTAGCAACACTCCCCAACATTAATATAGAGGAAGAAAATGCCATTCTAACTAATGTCAAGATGTTAACTAATTGTCATCTTAGCAACACTCCCCAACATTAATATAGAGATGATATTAAGGAAAGAACTATTAATTAATATTCAAGGAAAGAAGTTAAGAAAATAACTCACAACTTTAATAATCAACAAGCTTCAAGAGCAACACCAAGAATGGAAGTTTAGTTCCTCATTTGGAGACTAAACATAGCTAGAAAAATATAAAGAAATGTTATTCTAAACTGAGCTTAGGAGTATGGAAGAAGGGATGCTTTTTAGAGAAGAAAAAGTGTGCTATTTATAGGTGTTTTTCAACACCTTTGGCCGGGTACCCGACCAGGTCAAGTACTTACCCGACCGGGTCCGGTCAAAATCAGACAATCCGCCACGTTCTGGTGATCTTCGCACGTTGTTTTGTCCCGGGTCACATCTGACCCGACCGGGTCAAGTAGGGGACCCGCCGGATCCAGTGACTTTCTTGGCAATTTCGTCTGTTAAATCCTACCCGACCGGGTGGGGGTTTCTACCCGGTCGGATTTCACTCCTAGGCAGTCAAATTTCTTGTTTTCTTCTCTTCAAAGTCTTCCTTTCCAACACCACAAATCCTAACTATACTTTACAACTTATAAATAAAGAATAAAATACAATTACAACTGAAATTACATAAATGTTTACAAACTAAATAAAATGTCAAACAATCAACATAAATCAAACATAAAAACATATAATTATGCACTACTAATTAGTGTGCATCACGCATCCTCGGCCGAAGGCCATGCCCGCCAAAACCGGAAGGAGCGCCCATGGCAGCCGAGGAGGGACATCCCAAGGACTCCACTAACGCACTCGGTGGATACCATCCTCGACTATGCGGAGGAGCAAGGTCTCATCTCCAGAGATCCCCGGTCAGCCACGGAAGTCTACGCCGTCCACCAGGGCGGCACTTATTGTCGTTACCACAAGAACACCTCCCACAATACAGACGATTGTGTCGCGTTGAAGAAAGCCATTGAGCTCTTGATTCAACGGGGTGAACTCCGCCAATTTGTCAAAGGTATCCTAAGGAACTCCACCGGCAATCAGGAAGGGGACACCTCGACGAAGAAGCATGAAATTGGGAGGCTCAGCGACGACGAGGACTTCGAGGAGCCCCAACTGAAGAAGCGTCACATCCGCTGACTGTGTCCTTCTTCGAAGGGACGCACGGCCGACGGCTCGACCTCCATGGTGAAGTTCTACCAGCAAGCCGACGGATGGCTGAGCCAGCAAGCCGACGGATGGCTCATCCCTCAAAATACAAAGGGCTCTACATCTCGGTGAAGTTCTATCAGCAATCCGAAGAGGGCACAGACGGCGGAGCCCCCACCCCAAGGTCAGAAGCTCATTGAGAAGCTAACTCCTATACGGATTGTTAAGAAGATTACCACCCTCGGCCATGAGCCACTTATATAAACACACCTGTTGTATTTCGCTTATTTCTTGTAAAGTTTAAGTAAAGGATGCCACAAAACAAAGCACGTCGCATAGGCCCCTTCGAGCGAAACACTCAGGTATGGCCGACGACGCCACACAAAACAGCACATCGTCTTTGTAACACCCCGACCCCGTAGGCCCCGAGGTAGTTACTTCTGACCTCTAGTACTGTCCTCAAAAACCGCCACTAACCTTTTCCGCGCACTTTGTCCTCACTTGTGCGTGCCTTGAGAAACTTCCCAGGGGGTCACCCATCCCAAGACTACTCCCGTGCAAGCACGCGTGCCTTGAGGTAGTTACTTCTGACCTCTAGTACTGTCCTCAAAAACCGCCACTAACCTTTTCCGCGCACTTTGTCCTCACTTGTGCGTGCCTTGAGAAACTTCCCAGGGGGTCACCCATCCCAAGACTACTCCCGTGCAAGCACGCTTAACTTTGGAGTTCTTAGGTGATGAGCTCCCTTAAAAGGAGATGCATCTTGTTAGTATGAGTAGTACTATTAATCCGTTTAAATTAAATCTCAAGTGTTACAATCACCCCCACTTAGGAACGCAACGTCCTCATTGCGCCCATAAACCAATCTCAATCATATCCCAGAATCTTTTCCCCTGCTAAGTGTCCGCCCGATATCCAACGGATCAGCACACTGTCGCAGGGTTGCTCTGATACCATTTGTAACACTCCGGCCCCGTAGGCCCCGAGGTAGTTACTTCTGACCTCTAGTACTGTCCTCACAAACCGCCACTAGCCTTTTCCGCGCACTTTGTCCTCACTCGTGCGCGCCCTGAGAAACTTCCCAGGGGGTCACCCATCCCAAGACTACTCCCGTGCAAGCACACTTAACTTTGGAGTTCTTAGGTGATGAGCTCCCTTAAGAGGAGATGCATCTTGTTGGTATGAGTAGTACTATTAATCCGTTTAAATTAAATCTCAAGTGTTACAGTCTTGGCCCCTTAGAGCAAAACGCTTAGGCATGGTCGACGGTGTCCCAGGACGAGGGGCCTGCAAAATAGCCCATGTCTTGAAACGGGAAGCTCATCGCGTCGTCCTCGCGCTAAATCGCATTACGATAGGCCTGAAAGAATGGCCGAGATGACAAAATCCCCACACTTGGGGTTGGGAAACGGCAGCCGTCACTAACCGACCAAAAGCCTAGCCCGCGCCGTAAATAGACGACGAGACCCCCCAAGATCAAGGGACGATCCAGCGCTAGTGGCCGGACAGCTGCCCTCCTGGACTCCCTATCGGTCAAGGGAATAGCAACCCCATCGGTCGAGCCTGAAAGAAGGACCACCCACTCCTCACTCAAAGCAGTAGAGGAAGAAATAAAAGAGGGAAAGTCGAAGGACCGTGCACTCGCCGACCTCAACAAAATCCCTACAAATAAAAGAAGGACAGACGAGGACAGTGCACTCGCTGGCCTCGACGAAATCCCCATAAATAAAAGAGGGACAGCCGAGGACCATGCACTCACAGAGCCAGACTTCCATACTTAGCTATTTCTACATACTTTGTAATCGGCCAAATAGAGACCTTATATTGTAATGGGCCTCTCAAGTCCAAGACTTGGGAGCTCATCCCACTTTTTCCTATAAATACTCCCCTTGGGAGCCATGTAAAGGGTTCAAAAAATCATTAATACAACTCACTTCTCTCTCTAGCTCTCCCTTCTCTCTAGAATAAATACTCTATCACTAGGATTTCATTCTTCCCCAATATCGCCCTTTCAATCTGATTTTAGCGATTTTGAGATTGAATCTGAGAAGGAACGATGCAGACAACACGACGGCCATGGAGGACAAATATGTGTCGCTAATCGATTTCAGCTCCAACGATGGAGGAGAAGAGGAGCGATGGCGACAGTGCGGCGGCGGAGGACAGGGCGAGAAATGAGAAGGAGAAGAAATGCCGGTGACCCCACTCATTGTTATCGACGGAGTGTTGCCCAGATGGATACCAGATCGAAGGGGGAAGACCTGTTGCACGTTTAAGAGGCCGGCCAGGGGTGGGACTGAAAGGTCGGAAGATAAGTAGCGTACTATACTATACTATACTGTATTGTACTGTACTGTATTGTACTGTACCGTACTGATGGTCCCGGATAGGGTAAAAGTCTAGAGGGGGGGGGGGGGGGGTGAATAGACTTTTAAATCTTTTTGACCTTTACAAAGATTTCCCTCTAGAGGAGTTGATCTATAATCTTTTGAGAGATTAATAGATGCACAGAGGAAGTCTTTACCCTTTATATAATGAGTGTTTTAACCACTTTCTGATCTGAGGAAGATTGGACTTAGATAGCTAGCAGTTGGCTTGGCAGTTGGCTTAGCAGTTGGCTATGTAGTAGGGAACTGCTGAGGCAACTGCTAGACAAATACATACTTTATGATAAAGATGATGATGGAATATTGTTTAGAATGCTGAAGGCAGTAGGACAATATCCTTTAGTTGAAAGGAAGCTACAGCTGTATTTCAACAGTGGTCTCAGCAGTTGGGTGGTACTGAGGTAACTGATGAGTCACCTGCTTGTATTATAAACTGGGATTCGTAGCTTGGCTCAGACTGCCTTCTTACTAGAGATGTTATGAGACTGTGATGATACTTGAGATGTTCACAGGAAGTAAGTTTGTATAAGCAGAGGGCTCAGCAGTTGTGTGGTCACCAGGGGACTGCCGAGGTCTCTGCTATACTTGAAGAGTGAGTTCCTGGAATTTGAAAGAGCGACTCTTCTAGTGATTATGTGACCTTGTATAGTGTGATGAGGGCTTCCTGATTGGATACTGAGCTTGAGAATTTTAAGGTGTTTTTGCCTAAGTAGAGGTCTCAGCAGTTGAGTGAAACCAGGGAACTGCTGAGCCACCTGGTTCAGTAAGAGAAGTGATTTCCGGCAAAGTGTGCCTTCAGATAGTGATGCTGCGAAGCTCTTGTGAAAGGGTTATCTCAAGAAAAGGTGAGTGATTAAGCAGTAGGATAAGCAGTTGGGTGAGTTAAGACAACTGCTTAAAATGCTGTTGGCAAACTACAATTTCTTATACGAGAAGTGTTGGGTGTGTGCTTTGTTGACTAAGGAAATCAACACACGATATATCCTGGTTCAGAGGTGGTGTAATCCTCCTACATCCAGTCCCATCCTATTTCAAATGGATTTCACTAATGTATTAAGCCCAATACACTTAGCGCCAATCTAGCCTTGACAACTCTGGCCTAGATTGAAGGTGTTTCACGAGGAGTACAACACCACTCCAAGCTACTCAATCCTTTAGGTTTTTCTCAATTGATCCAGTGGGGATCAAAAGGTACTCCTAACCTATCTAACCACACTCAGGCCGGGAACAATTGTCCTCCTGAAGTGTTTACAACAATTTCTGGTTGTGATTACAAGAAAGTTCTAACGTCCAACTAGGAACTAAACTTCTATGATTTTGGCAATGAAGACTTGATACTGAGAAGTTTAGTGAAGCAAGAGACTAAGCAGAGAGTCGTGGATAGAATAGCACTTCTTGCTCAGTGAAATATCTCTCTACTTAGGATGCTCAGGCTTGGTTAGAAACTTTCGTTTCAGCCTCTATTTATAGGCTTTTTGGCTGATCAATCTTATCCGTTGGTTAGGATAAATTGATCTCTACCGTTGAACTTCTGGCAAAGACAAATTGTACTTCCGTCTTTTTGTGCTGGAGCTTTAATTCAGGCTGATGCATTTGTCTTTGAATAATTCACCCGCTGAAGTTTTTCTCTCCACAGTTTCATTGTGCGTCCCATGTCGTGGACCCAGTACGTTTATGGCATTGATTGCCGGTCAATGTTTGTCTCTCAATCATTCACTTGATACATTTCTTTTATCTAAAAATGTGACATACGAAAACTTTTTGAGTCAAATAGTATTTGCCGGTAGGATTCAACTATCATATAAAGGTAAAGAGAATTTACCTTATTGCATTTTTACTTTTCCGGTAATATTTCTTAGACTCAAAAGTTGTACATTTAATTTGTCACGTAAATACTAGAATAAAATGAGGCACAATGTACACGTGCTAAGTATAGTGGCATCATCAAAATCTTATCAAAATTGGGTACTAACAATTTCCCCCTTTTTGATGATGCCAAAACTATACAACACAAGTAACAAATATTTTTATTGATTTTCTTTGAAATTTTTGTACATTGCTCTACTTTCTAGAGTACAATAGTTTATAGTCTTTTTCGGACTTTTAATATCTAGCCTACTCTTGCTTGTCTTCTTGTTTCTTCTTGGCTTCTTCCTTGGCTTTGGCCTCTTCTGCTTTTCTTTTTCTGATTTCTGCTTCTTCCTTGTAGAGCTTGTTCTTCTTCCTGGTTTCAGCTGCTTTCTTGGCTGCCAGAGACTTTGTAGAAGAGGTGCCTGCTTGTGTTGTGTTTCCCCCCTTTTTGGCAGCATCAGGGATGTAGCTTTCATCAAAAAGATCCTCAATGTCATCATCAATGTCATCAGCTGTTCTCCTTATTGGATTGAGTCCATAGACTTGAATGGATAGGGCCTTGATGTGATTGTTGATGTCCAAAATGTCAGTCTTTACTTCATCCCTGACTTCATTTTCCAGGTTTTGAAGCCGTTGGTGAGTGGTTTCCAAGTTTTGTCCCAGTCTCTGAAGGTCACTTCCATGCTGTAGGAATTCCTTTTGAGTTGTTTGGTGTAGGGAGTTGAGGTTGGATGCCATGTCTGCTCGAGTTTGTCCAATGGCATTTGAGTGCTCGATTTGCTTTGTTACAACCGTCTGAGAGAGCTTGAGCATTGCTGGAAGCTCCTTTGTTTTTATGTTTTGGATGAATTCCTCATGGTCTTGAATGGTCTTAAGGGCCTGCTCAAGGTTAGGAGGTAAAGAAATGGTAGGAGGTACCTGGGCCGAGGGCTCTGCTGCTTGGGAGGCCACTGCTAGTTCTTTTTCCCTTAGCTCCTTCAGTGAGTGAACAATCTGATTTTCCAGCTCTTCATCCCGGGCTTTCAAGGCTTCAAGTTCGTTGTGAAGTGCCTCCATCTGTGCTGGTTGGTTTGAGAGGTGAATGTTGAGCTGAGCTTTCTGCTCTGAGTTGAATACTTGTTGTATCATCAAATTGCTTTTTAGATGGCAGTGTACTTCAGCGAACCTCATTTCTAGCAGCTCATCAAAATGCTTCTTCATTTTGATCAGTCTCTTGTGGAGGCGTACCTCAGCATTGCTAATGAATTTTGTGGTTGCTCTTCTTTCATTGATGAAGACTTCTGCTAGTGTTGGAGTGTCTTCTTCATCCTCATGCTGAATTTGGTTTTTAATTTCGTTGGACGTGGCAGGCTTCTCAGGAATTGTATCTTGGTGGGGTTCCAAGTTGAGATCTATCATAGCAGTCCCCTGTTGGATAGTAGCAACCAACAGTTTCTGGGGTGCCTTAGAGGATTCCCCACCTCCTTTAGTCTCCAACCTTGATTTCTCAAGAGTCTGTCCGAGTTGTTTATCACTAGAGGAGGAGTGAACGGTTTGCTTACCTCTTGATTTTGGCGGTCCCTTGGGTGCGTTGTCACCATTATCATCATTATCATCATCCAGGTCATCATTATCTGAGTCTTCGATCGTATCTTTGGCTGTGAGGTTCTTTTTCTTTAATGCGTACACTTGGTTGATCGTGTGAAGTCTTGTAGCCTCAGCCATGTCCTCAGTGCCAATCCACTCCACAACGAAGTCCTCTTCCTCTATGAAATGAGAGAATGTGTCTGCTTGAAGAAGGATCCTCGATAGCTTCCAGGAGCGCCATGCTTTGACCCTTGCAAAATCTGCATCCAATTGCTCTAAGGGAGTCATTCTAAGTGACTCCACTGCTGGTGAAGGAGGACTCTGCTCTGGCTCTGGGGGAGCCACATGCTCTCTTGATGAGTGGTTTGTTCAGTTTGTAGGTGAGCCACCTGCTCTAGTAAGAGAGCCACTTGCTCTTCTTGTTGAGTTATGCTTGGAATGTGTATGGAAAGTGGGAGTGCAGAGTTGTTGCTTCCATTTGAGGAACCGGCAGAGGCCTCTGCTTCCTCTTGAACTATGGCTAAGGATGAGGCAACTGCTTCCTCAGGATGAAACGATGAGGCTGCCTCTTCTAGTTCTACCGGGAGATTTCTTGTAGCTGTTTTTGGCCGCTTAGATTTGGCTTCTAGACACCCAGAGCGTGGTCTTTTAGCTAGCTTGGTTTTGATCCTTGTGAATTCCATTTGGAGAGGTTGATGAGAGTGAAGAGTGGGGTCTTCTTTTTGAATCACGGGGGCTCCTGCCTTTGAGGTTTGATGTAGGAATTTCCTCCAGATGGTTTCTTCTTTGACTTTTCCTATGATCCCCTTTCTTTTGAGAATTTCCTCAATTAGGAACCCATACCCTAGCAATGGTAGGGTACCATCTTCCTTTCTATCCTTGTGAGATTTGTTGACATATCTCACAAGTTCTTTGAAAACGTACCTGGTCCAGTTGTGTGGCGTCCCAGAGATGATCGCGGCCATTGCAGGTGCCCTTTGTGCGTTCATTTCGTCCAATGCAGTTGTTCGGTTGTCAATGCATTTGTAGATGATGTCCATGAGAAGTGCATATTCTGTGACCATCAGTTTCTTTTTGACCTTGGAGTGTTGAGGGTTTGAGCTTCTGGGAGGAACACTGTTTCCTTGAAGCCTTCCTCGTCTGTTATGAGGTCCGGTACCTCTGGGGCTTCATCTCCAGGAACAGATAGCAGTTGCCTGATGTCTTCCTCTTTGATCTCCACTTCGACTCCAAGCACAATGGATTTTAGTGTCTTGGATGTGGAATTGATGTAGAACTATGCTACTATTTCGGGATAGTAGCAGGTGTACCGGTAGGTAGCCATTTTCATAAGCCCCGTTGTATTTAGCTTCCTTAGGAGCTCCTTCATGAGGTAAGTGTTCTCAGCTTTTTCAATGATTTTCGGGGTGTTTAGGATTGAACCGGTGAAAATGGACTTGGCAATTTGTACGAGGGAGGCCATTTGTTCTTGAGTGGTGAGTTGGGAAGGAGTATTTGAGTAGAAGTGGTGAAGGCTTTTTAGAGTGATTTGAGAGCTTTAGAACAAGTTAGAAAGAGTAAGAGAGAGATTGCAATGTGAAAAGTGAGAGGAATTGTACGGAGGACGAATTTATAGGCTATCGGGAACTAGCCGTTGGAATATAGCTGTTGGAGAATACGGCTGGCCTTTCAGCATTAACTGTGTTCACACAGGTAGCAGGGGGCTCATTTCTGAGTAGATTTTTGATGATTTCTGAGAACAATAGGCACCTTTCTGGAATCCTTGATATGAGGTGATCAAGATGATATAAGCTGTGGGCTGAGATTCCTTGTTCATTTGTCAGAAATTGAGCCAACTGCTGGTCTGAGGCAGGGGCCTGCTCCAGAGGCAGTCACCTGCTGGCAGTCACCTGCATGAAATCTTGAACCAGTGTCTTTACCTCCGTTTGCTTTCCTTCTTTCTAGTCCTTTCTCTCCTTTTTGAAAAAGTATATGTATCCAATTCCTACCTTTATAAGTAGCAGTAGGCTGGTAGCCAGTCACCTGCTGAGCCATTTGCTCGAATACTTACTCCTTTTCTTCTTTCTAGAGTTTCTGGTCATTCATGACTAATCCTCCTCTTGAACGTCTCCTTCTGTTATCCAGAACTTTGACCGGTCTCTGCCATATTGATTTGTTTTTATTGAACAAATCCCACCTGATCCTCAGAGTTAGTCAAGTCATCTGGTTTCAAGATTTTTTCATTTGGGGTTAACTAGTTTCCAAGTGACGCATAGAATACTCTTGGGAGAATAAGTAGTATTTCAGAAATCATTTCTTTGTAGCCTAATTATCCTGTGGGCTCGTTTGGTATTCATCCTGCCGAGTTACAGAAATATTTCAAGAAGTTGTAGCAGTGGGCTTGTGGGCAGTCACCTGCTGTGGTGAAAGTCAGTCGCCTGCTTAGTTTGTTGCTCGGAATTTGAGTAGATGAGCAAGTGACTGTTCATAAAAGTTGGGGTATGTGTTCCCCCTCAGCAGATGCCTAGGAATTCCCCCTCAATTTATGAGTTATGTTCCCCCTGAATGGGTACAGGGCAATTCCTCTTCTTTGATCATTATTCCAAGCTCTTGTCAAGATGTTTTGAATCTTGCTTCACTCACTTGCTTGGTTTGATGTGGAAATCTTGTGGAGTCATATGTAGTCCCAAGAGATAGTTCAACTCTCTTTTTAGGCTCTCTTCAAAGTAGGCTTGAGAGTTGAAAGTTTTAAGGAGTGTGTGGGGACCTTCTTCAATAATGTCTTATCTAGTTGCCTTCGATGAACTCATATTTCACCCTATGCTTAGAGAGTGTATCATACCCTTCATTTGGAGTTTGCCTGACTCCAGAGAATGATTTAGGTATGAATACTTCATCTCTTATCAAAATCAAGGGGACTGCTCCACGTAGTCCTCTTTTTCTAGTAGACCGTTTTGAGGAAGGCACATTCAGTATGTGAATTTCCTTATGGGCAACACATTGTTAAGGATGTTGTGCAAATGATGTTGTAATGGACCAGAATACGTTGAGCACTTCCAGTGCTAGTTAGAGTTGGTGCATTTGTGATGAGACCAGAGTACCTTATCAGAGAACTTTATCAGAAAACCTTGAACAGAGAGCCTCATCAGAGAACCTTGATCAGAGAGCCTCATCAGAGAACCTTATCAGAGAGCTTTGAACAGAGATCTTCTTGGGTCTTAAGGTCAGATAGAGAAGCAACTCTTATTCTGATAGTAGGACGTTACTGGGGCAACTTTGGGCAGGGGTTTAATCAAAATCTAGTCCTTCTTTGTAGTACCCTTTGGCCACGAGTTTTGCTTTATCCTCAACAATGATGCCTTCCTTCATTTTTGGAGACCCTTTTTGTTCCTATCACTTGATGATGATAGGATTTGGACACAAGCTTTCAGGAAATGTTCTTTGAGTACTTCTTTCATAGCTTGTGTGTAGTCAGAGTTCTGTAGGGCTTCTCTAGTTATCAATAATTTTCTGAGCAGGATGTAGGTTCAAACAATGTGGTTTATTTGAGATACCTGCTCATCCTCCTTTATCATCTGGTAGAGTGAAGATTGGGATCTTTTAAGCCTTTGTGCTTAGTTTAGTTGAAACGTCTGGACAGTTGATTTAAAATGAGTCAACTGCTGGCAGTGATCTCCCATTGTAGTCCTCTGCTGGCAGTGGTCTGCTTACTTGAGTCAACTGCTGATTCCAGAGTTGAGTAGTCTTTTAGCTTCTTGTCTGGGAGGGCAGCTTGGAGCCTTTCCAGTGATCTCCAAGAAAAGTCCCTTGCATGGTTTGCTCAATTACTTATTGAGTTCTGTAATTGAGATGGAGATATCACTTGATGATACCACCTGATGGTACCACTTGATGGTTTTTGAGCTTGAGATGGCTATGATGTGGTGCCATTTTCAACTCATGTATGAATCTGCTTTTGGAGAGCAGATTCCTTCTTTTGTAAACTCCAATCAATACCATGCTTCTTCTTATTCCTTTACCAGTTGGCACAACTTTGTTCTGGGCATCTAAACAGATGTCCATGGAGAATGTCATAGTGTGAACATTATCTTGGAGCTGGCTTGTGCTTCTTGAATTTGAACTTCAATCCTAGGTTGGATTGAAAGTTAGCATTTGATTTGGATTTTCCAGCTCTTTTTGTTTCTCCTTTTTCTTCCCATTCCCAATTTGTAAAATTGGGTCCTTCTTCCAGATCTCATAACTTGATAGTAGCCCCCTGCTAACTATCATGTGCATGGAGTAGCTTGAAGATAAATCTTTTCAATGTTGACTACTCCAACACCTTCCCATTTTCATTGGTTTTGAGTAACAGCCCACAAGTTTGTGGGCATCTTCCCTTGAATGCGTTTGGGCATCCATACCAATTTTGGACCATTTGAGTTTGAGCTGATGGGTCTGTAGCCATTTGGATTTATGTTTCCATTAGAAAAGGCTATATGTTTGTGATCATTATTCCTTGTGTGAGGGGGTGAAGGAATATGAGCATTAGAAGTGATCAGCTTTTTCTGAGATAAGTTGTTGGTCTTATTGATTGGTTGCCAATCAAGTCTTTGATTTGGTTGGTTATTCAGGAAGTTGAAATTGTAGGGAAGTTTGGATTTTGGTCTGGAGGAGGACTGAGTCCTTTTCTTTGACAGAGTTTGGGAGTGAGGTTGTTGGTGGTTTGAATTCCTTGTGTCTTGTGGATCTGTGGTGGGTTTTGTGATAGGAGAGTATTTGGGAGAGTCTTCAAATGGCTTGGATAAGGGTGTGAATCCCAATCTTGTGTTCTTCCAGTTGTGATGGATTTCCTCACTAATAGGGGTAGTGAGGGAGCTCAACCTTTCTTTTAAACTGAAGTTTTCGAGTTCAAGAAAATCATTTCTCTTTATCACTTCACCCATTTGAGCTTGGGCTACTATTAGATTAACTTGAAGTCTACAGTTTTCGTTCATTAAAAGAAGGTGATCCTTTTGAAAGTTTTCAAATTGAAGGAGTAGAGCTTCCATGTCAACACTGGAGCAGCTAGAGTGAAATGAGTTGTTTGAAGAACTAGATAATACCTCATCGTTATCATTGCTTGTAGTTCCGGCCATAGAACAGTCATTGGAGAAGTTTTCAACATGGTGCATTCCATAGAGACAAATCAGGGTCTCTTCTTCATCTCCTGATGAACTGCTTTTATCACTTGAGCCTTTTTGATCATCAACTGATTGAGTCATTGAGAGCTCATCCCAGACATCCTTGGTTCTCCAGTCATCATACATGTTTTGGTTAGGCAAAGAATCTGTTGCCAACCGTTTGTCCATTTCAGAAAGTGTTTGGGAAGTTGAGTGGTTTGGATCTTTAGTTCAAATTAGTCAGGAACTGACTCTAGGAACACTCTGCTCTGATACCACTTGATGATCCCGGATAGGGTAAAAGTCTAGAGGGGGGGGGGGGGTGAATAGACTTTTAAATCTTTTTGACCTTTACAAAGATTTCCCTCTAGAGGAGTTGATCTATAATCTTTTGAGAGATTAATAGATGCACAGCGGAAGTCTTTACCCTTTATATTATGAGTGTTTTAACCACTTTCTGATCTGAGGAAGATTGGACTTAGATAGCTAGCAGTTGGCTTAGCAGTTGGCTATGTAGTAGGGAACTGCTGAGGCAACTGCTAGACAAATACATACTTTATGATAAAGATGATGATGGAATATTGTTTAGAATGCTGAAGGCAGTAGGACAATATCCTTTAGTTGAAAGGAAGCTACAGCTGTATTTCAACAGTGGTCTCAGCAGTTGGGTGGTACTGAGGTAACTGATGAGTCACCTGCTTGTATTATAAACTGGGATTCGTAGCTTGGCTCAGACTGCCTTCTTACTAGAGATGTTATGAGACTGTGATGATACTTGAGATGCTCACAGGAAGTAAGTTTGTATAAGCAGAGGGCTCAGCAGTTGTGTGGTCACCAGGGGACTGCCGAGGTCTCTGCTATACTTGAAGAGTGAGTTCCTGGAATTTGAAAGAGCGACTCTTCTAGTGATTATGTGACCTTGTATAGTGTGATGAGGGCTTCCTGATTGGATACTGAGCTTGAGAATTTTAAGGTGTTTTTGCCTAAGTAGAGGTCTCAGCAGTTGAGTGAAACCAGGGAACTGCTGAGCCACCTGGTTCAGTAAGAGAAGTGATTTCTGGCAAAGTGTACCTTCAGACAGTGAAGTTGCAAAGTGTACTGTACTACTATACTGTACTGTACTGTACTGTACTGTACTGTACTGTGCTGTACTGTACTGTACTGTGTTGTGCTGTACTGTACTGTACTGTACTGTACTGTACTGTACTGTACTATACTGTACTGTACTGTACTATATTATACTATACTATACTATACGATATGATACGATACGATACGATACCATACCATACCATTGTTAGGAAATTGATGTAACGTACCTCGAAAGTACAGCAGCGGAAGTTTAAACTTTTCCCAAATAGATCTTCCCTGGTTATGACAAATCAACGAATAAAACAATAATAACAGATCCGAGTCAGAACTTACAGATCTTCCAGCCTAGCGGTGATAATCCTTGACCTTTTTGGTGTCCACGTGATTTCTCCTTTCTGAAAGAACGGTTAGATCTCCCTAAGAGAAAGGCTAGGAAATCTCTTCGCGGGGAAATAAACTGGTAATACTGAATCTAAAATCTTGTATCTAATTATGAAGGAGGTGGATGTATTTATACTAGTTCTAAACTAGTTTCTGAATGACAATGAAAGTCTTTCTAATTAATGAGTTCTAGTCTAACTATAACCATTACCATTTATTAACAAATAAAGATATAATAATAATAAATAATAATAATAAACCATCCGTACATAGCAAAGAGGATGGGGGCAGCCGCCACCCTCATTCTCTTAATACATTTTTGTTATTATTATTTATTTAACCTTTTCTTGAATACTCTTTAATTCTAAATTGCATCCAAGAAAATATCAACTTTATTTAATAATAAATACATCTTAATTAAGTATGATAAATCTAATTTATCTGACTTAATTGATTCTATCAAACAGAACTCTCCTTCAACTTCATGAATTAAATATGTCTAATCTAGATAATATTTAATCCATTTTCAGTATTATGAATTAAATATTATTTAATCCAATTAATAATATTTAATTACTTTTAACAATTCAATCGGAAGGTATAATCACTTGTTGTGTGACCCATATGGCCTTATATATTAAGCACTAATCAAATTAAGGTCTCAGCGAATCCCTAGACGATTCTCCAGACAAACTTAATATATAAGGACGTTTGCGAGGACTATTCAAACTCCCTGTAATATAGAGCTCATAGTGATACAGTCCTTTCATTCAGCGAACATTCAACTAAGTCTAGAACTTGATATTGTGTCTATTCCAATAACTTAGTCTCTATCTCTCAATCTTTCTAGATGATCCATAATGATCATATTCGATATCCAAAACGAATATATCTTTGCATTGGCCAATGACTTTATGATCCATCTAGATATGAGAAGTAGAATGTTCTCTCTTAATCTATTATGAGGAATGAATTCTTTCTTGGCTCAACTACTACTCCATGTGCTTCGTGATGCACCCAACACATGCCGTATCTACCCCGATTGGAGTGCAAGCGTTGGTCATGGTCAAAGTACATCACTCCGCACATGTAGTACGTATTGACCTCAAGTCGGAGGACTATTACACTACTCTATACGCCGATAATACCATAGACACATGAATAGAACTTATCAAATGGTTTCTCGGTGGGTATGCCAATATTCTCTAAAATATCTATGTGACCGTCATGAATTACAGGAACTCATAGTCGTGAGATCAACTATACTTTCTAAAAGTATGATGCAGTCCACATACCAATCTTATCGCATATCATCAATATCCCATTCTTGATGATCATTGATTGGGGCTATTTTAGGACCTTATGTTATATCATATAAGCTCCCACTTACTTATTGACAACATAAGTCCAAGGGAACACAATTATGAATAAGATATTGACAATTGAAATACTTAATCGTCAATGTGTAATACCGTATATATCAAATATATAAAACTGAATGTGATCAAGTACATATATCTCTAAAAAGTGATTGTCGCTAGGACATATATACTAACAACCATACCATACCATACCATACCATACCATACCATACCATACCATACCATACCATACCATATTTTTTTTACCCCGGAAAGGCAAACCACCAAAATCAGTGGGGTTAATGCCGGGGAGCATTTGTCACGCCCCGGACCGCATCCGTGCCACGTAGACAACCACCGTACAACCCAATAAGAACAACAACAGTTCATTCTTATTGAATTATACAGCGCGTCAGATAGATTCTATTGCCAAACCGATTAGTAAACACATACAATCAACATCAATATCATAATCGAACAAATGCAGAAAATATAATATGTTTGATAATTAGCCACACGTGGCAAACACGAGCACACAGGCTCCCAACTGTTTTTGAAGAAAAACACTATTCAAATGTCCATGAGCAATCACTTAGTTTCAATAAGGATGGAAGCACGAACCACGTCTTCCTTATTTGATGATCACCCTAGGCAAAGGTGCAGGAATAGGACTCTAGCCTTAACCTGAAAAATGTGAGGCCCCCAAAGGGGCCAGTACTCTATAGAAAGTACTAGTGACAAGTAGGCTATATGAGGAATAACTAATGTTTCAGACACGAGACCCAAAAAAGGGTGATACATATATATAGGTGTCTCTCATCCACCCGATGATACATACTGTATATATACTCGTAAAATAATTAACCCGTAGGTCATTTACCTTAAAGAGTCCTTTAGAGATAAAGTTCTTACCTGACTTATCTCACTCCTTTCCCGGACACCTAGCTCACAAGCTACATTCTACATTCGTAATATCCTACCGAGTTTCAGGATCATTTACCGTCCCGGGGATACTCAACCCCAACCGAGTTTCAGGATCATTTACCGTCCCGGGGATACTCAACCCCAACCGAGTTTCAGGATCATTTACCGTCTCGTGGATACTCAACCCCAACCGAGTTTCAGGATCATTTACCGTCCCGGGGATACTCAAACCCAACCTTATTCCTTACCAAACCCTATCTTGGATATGACTAACCTTTCATTCCTCTAACTGTGGACAACACCTAGCCCTATAGTCATATAACAATCCTTAGTAATCAACATGGACGGTTCTCACCCGAATGCCCCACGTTATACTCATTCAAAACTGACCGTTTGGGTGTAAAAACCCAATACCCGGTCGAGTACCAACCTATACCCGGTCGGGTATAAGAGGAAGCAGCCCCTGGGGCAAATTTTCAGCAAATACTCGGTTGGGTATTTGCCAATACCCGGTCGGGTATGGGAGGCAGCAGCCCCTCTGGCAAATTCTCAGCAAATACCCGGTCGGGTATTTGCCAATACCCGGGCGGGTATAACAATTGACTTGGCAGTCAACGCCCGTTTGACCGCCCAAACAGAGTCCGATTAACGTAAAATTTTACATGGAAGTACTCCTTGACGTCCTTAATCCAAATATTCTTATTTGGGTCCTTGGAACATGATACATATTAATTTATAATAATTTCACTAATCAAACCTATAAATCATGCTTTTCAACTATGTTATATTCCTTAACATGACATAGCACATAGTTTAATATCATTATTCAATTCATAAAGCATATACTTGATTAATTTAGGTAATCTCATGCCTCACGCAAAAGTTATAAAGCATATAGTCATCTTCTCACCTTAAATGAAGCTTTAATGTGTTCTACCCTTCTTGATTGAACTCCGGCGAAACTCCGACGAGCTTTGTTGAACTCCGGCGAAACTCCGGCAAACTATTCCAATTCCGTGGAAATACTAGGAACACCTTATACAAGTTCCTAACAAGGTTTTATAATAAAAAAAACTCATATTAATACAAATAACCTCTAAAAGGTTATTTTCTGGCGAACTGGTCGCTTTGGCTCCTAAGTCCGCTCTTGGACTTAGAACTACCTATCAACCCCCATTCTACACTTTTAAATGTGTAAAAAAATACTAGGGGTATGAAATTATGATTAAAGATAAGAAATGGGATTAATGGAGTCATTACCTTGTGAACCACAAGTTTTCCCACCTAAACTCCTCTTTTCTCTTCTCTTTTTCCTTCCTTTTTCCTCTTCTTGCTTTGTGCGTGTATGGTAGATGAAATGATGATTTTCGGAGCTTCTCTCACCAAAAAGGAAGTGGCTTGGTCGAGCTGATTGGGTTGGAGTGATTGAGAATGCTTTTTGGCATTTCTCACAATAATACCAAAGGTGAGTTCCATTTTTTTCTATTGATTGGTCTACCAATCAATTTCCTCCTTGCTTCCCCATGCCATTGTGCGGCTCCCCTTCTATCTTGAAAGAGAAAAACGTGGGTTGGCCCCCACTTATGTGGGAGGTCAACCCTTTGTGTCCCCGAGTGTACAATCGATCCTGAAAGTTGTATTTTCCAGACTGTTTTAATTATATTTTATTTTATCGGGTCAGATAAAATATAACACATGTTCTCAATCCTTATTGGACCTTAGAATGAATATACATTTCCAAACTTTAATTTAGAAGTCTTTGAAATTCCTTTTCGGGCTGTTATCTGATAAATTGCCGATACTGATAAATGGGACCTCGTTTGACCAACCGGTCAACCCTATGCCTTTTCACGGCCCAATTAGGATATCCACCACCATATACATATTATCTAGGCCCATATGAATATAATATTTGGTCATGATAATATCGGGCGGCCCCCACTTCCGGTGTGGGCCCCACGTGAATTTTTACTATTCACGTAAATGATTCATTGAGGGATTGAGAATTTTATCACGTAAATGATTCATTGTATCACTATGGCATCTTCACATAGGGCACATTGAGGGACTGAGAATTTTATTAAATCTCTGTAACTTGTCAATAATTGGGACTATCCCTTTTACAATTTTCCACTGAAAAATCTTCATTTTGAGCTCAAGTTGAGAATCCCATATCTGTTGATAAATGATTGAGCTAAAAGAAAGATCTCTGACTTCTTCAAAAGCTGATTTGAATGTGAATTGACCATTTTCTTCTTCATTCCAGGTAACAATACCACCTGCATCTGTAGAAATTAATGAGGAAGCCATTTCATGTACACAACAAATCCTTCTCCAAACTGGAGAATCTGCCACTTTTGGTATCATGTTCTCATTTCTGTTATATCTTGCTTGAATGAATCTAGCCCAGAGTGAATCTCCTGTTTTCCATTTCCACCACAATTTTAGAATGAAGGCCTTCTCTAAATCCGTCAAAGACCTGATCCCCAAGCCTCCCTCCACAGTAGGATAGCATAGTTTAGCCCAAGTAATCCAATGTGCTTTTTTCCTGTCATTATTGGATCCCAAGAAAAAAGAGGCCAACTTCCTGTTGAGTACATTGATTACCTTTTTAGGCAGCAAGTCCACAGCCAAAATATGAAGTGGGAGAGAACTTAAAACATGTTTAATGAGAATAAGCCTACCCCCATGGGTCAAGTTTTTTTGTTTCCAAGGGGTGAGCTTATTTTCAAACTGTTTTATAAGATTGCCACAAAATTGAAATCTATTAATTCTTTTATGAAGATTGACTCCAAGATATTTAACAGGGAGATCAGTCAACTTCATCCCTAATAAATTCTTGATCCTTGCCTTCCTATAAGAAGCAGCTTTACCACGCAAGATAGAGCTTTTATCCAAATTAATTTCCTGATCAGAAGCACCCTCATATGAGCTGAGAAAGGCTTTAAAATTAAGCAAAGACCTGGACTCTCCATTAAGAAAAACAAGCAAATCATATGCAAATCCCAAGTGAGATATAGTAATACCATTACCACCCATCCAAAAAGGCTGGATTCTGCCTTCTTGCATCATCCAGTGAAGACCTCTGCTAAAAGCCTCTGAAGCAATGATAAAAAGAAAAGGAGACAAAGGATCTCCTTGTTTCACTCCTCTAAAAGGCTTAAAGAAACCTTGAGGAGAACCATTGACCAACACTGACAGAAAGGTTGCTTGTAGGTGATTCATAATTAATTGAACAAACTGATGGCAAAAACCAAATTTAAGGAGCATGAGAGAAAGGAAGTGCCAAGATACCTTGTCAAAAGTCTTTGACATATCTAGCTTGACCACAAAGTTAGACCCTCTAACTTTCTTATCTATATTATGCATCAGTTCTTGAGCTATGAGTACCTGATCTGCAATATCTCTATTAGCCATAAAACCAGCATGTTGCTTTGAAATGATTTTAGGAAGCACTGATTTCAGTCTTGTTACCATCACCTTAGTGCAGATTTTACTGATGAAGGTAGATAAGCAGATAGGTCTAAATTCACTATATGATGAGGGGTTATCATTTTTGGGGATAAGAACAATTAGAGTGTTAGAAACACCCTTAGGAATGTGATGACCCATGAAGAAATCTTGAACAGCCCTTGTCACATCCATCCCAACTATTGTCTAGCACTTTCTGTAATACTTACCATGGTAACCATCAGGCCCCGGAGCACTATTAGGATCAAGATCCCACACAGCTTGTTTGACCTCCTCTGCAGTAGGAAGATTGATAAGCATATTGTTATCTGCCTGATCTATAATTTGAGGAATATGATGCATTAATTCATGGCTAATGTTTGTATGTTTTGCAGAATATAAATCTGAGAAGAAGTTAACAGCAACCTCCCCAATAAGAGGAATGGAAGAAACCACTTCTCCATCCTGATTCTTAATTGAGGTAATAGCTTGTTTCCTCTTTCTTATTTGAACATATGAGTGATAAAAATGAGTGTTATTGTCTCTTTCTTTGAGCCATTTGAGATGAGCCTTTTGTTTCCAAAATTTTTTCTCCAAGTTGTATTTTTGGATTAAAAGGCTTCTTTTATGGGACCAATTGGCTCTAGATGAATCGGAAGGACACTCCTCAAACTCCTTTTCTGCCAGTATAACCTCATCTTCACATTTTTTGATGTCTTAAAAAATGTTACCAAAAACCTCCTTACTCCAGCTTCTAAGCTCCTTTTTAAGATATTGCAGTTTAGTAACTAGTCCCCTCATCCCACCTTCTGTCTTCACAGAATTCCACTTGTCAGCCACAAAGTCCATAAATGAGGGATGTTTAAACCACATGTTCTGGAACCTAAAAGATTTAGGTCAAGTGATACTTTGATTAGAGCATTGAATGAGAATAGGGTTGTGGTCAGAGGGAGTCTTGTTCAATATAGAAATTCTAATAGAATCAAATCTGGCCAAGAACGTAACTGATTATTGAAAAGAACCCTATCTAACCTCCTCCAAACTCTACCATTTGATTTGTTACATGTCCAAGTGTACTTTGTACCATCATATGGAAGATCCACCATTCCACAAGAAGCAATGCAATCTGTGAAGTCATTGACCCCCCTGAGAACATGTAAAGAGGGTACTTTGGGGTCGCCGGAGTCAAACGGGGGTGGAGGGTGGAGGGGGGATTACCGTGTTTGGCTTTGTTACGTCTCCGTCTGGGTAATTTGGTTTTGCCTCCGTTCTCCGGCTGCCGGAAAGCCTAGTAGGCGACGGTACCAGGTGGGGGGGTTCGGGGGGGGGGGGGCTGTTTGACCGTTCTGACTGGTCAGTCTGTTGACTGACGTGTACGACATACTGGTGCGGCGCAATTGGATTTGGCGCCCAGCCTGCTGAGGATCTTCTGAAGCGATAGAGGACGGGCTGCTGCCCTAATCCTTGATGGGCCGCTGGACTGCTAGGAGATTTGGGCCCTGGAATGGAGAGAAGAGCTTTGGAAGAAACCGCTGAGACTGCATGCGGAGGGCTCCTTCGCTGGTTCTGATCACAGCCCAGGCGATGGGCTTTTAGGGGTCCAAACCTGGGCCTGTTTTTGATGGCCTTTTGGGTCTGGTTTGATTACTCTTTGCTGGCTTACGAAAGGGATTGACTCGTTACTGGGCTGACACTTTTGGGTCTGTCTAGCTTGGTTAATTGATGTCTTTTTGACTTTTGATGAGTGAGCCGGGGTCTGTCCCGTGCCATTCTTGGACTGTTTTGTGATGTTTTGGACTTAAAAAATCTCTCTCTCCCTACCCCTACCGCAAAGTGGGGGGGGGGGGGGGGGCAGATACGGTAGATACTATTTTAGGTTAGCATGCTAGCTTAGATAGGTCTTTTTGATGCATTGTAATATGCTATTTTTCTGGATATATATACTTACATTTTATCCAAAAAAAAGAGGATACTTGATGTTCACTGTATTTAGAAACCTCATTAAAATCCCCTCCCATAACCCATGGCTCATTAATATTGGCAGAGAGATTAGAAAGTGACTCCCAAAGATTTCTTCTAACAATATAACTATGTTTCCCATAAACTCCTGTTATCCAGCCTGAAAAAATATTGCTCTGAATTTTGCAGTGAGTAAATTGAGTATGCCAGGTAAAGTCAGTAAGAGTGATCATGCCTGAGTCCCAAAAAGCCAGACTTTATTAATATCTGAATAAGCTGCAACATCAAAACCAAAGTTTTTCTTGTATAAATCAACTTTAGATATATCCACCGTTGGTTCAATAATGATAAGCATATTAATTATCCATTGATTAACTAGGGAACGAAGCATGGAACTGGAGGATTCCAGGCCCCTAGTATTCCAAAGTAGGAGATTCATTGAGCCCCCGGGAGGGCAGCCTGCCCCTTAGCCACACTTCTTGTATTTCTTTTAGTCTGAACATCTTCTGATGTCTTCTTTCTGCCTGTCTTCTTATTTACTTTGGAGAAACCTTCCTCCTCAATTTCATTTGAGGTGTAGGAGGAACTGTGACCATCTGAATTACAAGAATGAGCAGCCTCCTTGGTATGCTCATATGAAGGCTGGTTTTCTGAAATATCTGTCTGCTTGTTTTCATTAACTTTATCTTTTTGCTTAACAATAGCATCAATTTTTTCACAGATGTCTGACCAGGAGTCCATGAAAGAACTAGGGTTAACAGCTTTCTCCTGTTCCCCATCAGACCAGTAGTCCCTTTGCACCAATGGTATATCCACCCTATTGCTTTGACCATCTCCTTGATAGCAAAATCATCTTTAATCCCTTGTAAAGCCTTAGGATCTGATTGTATAACACCTGGGATCTCTGATTGAAGCAGCTCTCTAATATGGTTCTTGACTTCTTGTGCAGGTTGCTCTACAGGATCCAAGAAAATCTCCTCTTCCTCTTCTGAGAGAATCTCCTCTAAAACAACCTTAGAAGTAGATTGCTTATTAGAAATTATGTCTGAAACCTTATCTTTTCCTTTTTCTTCCCTTGTAAGTTTCTTGCCCTGTTTGGGAGCCCAAACTTCCTTTGTAATATTGTTACTAGATGGAGAAAGTACACTACACTACACTACACTACACTACACTACACTACACTACACTACACTACACTACACTACACTACACTACACTACACTACACTACACTACACTACACTACACTACACTACACTACACTACACTACACTACACTACACTACACTACACTACACTACACTACACTACACTACACTACACTACACTACACTACACTACACTACACTACACTACACTACACTACACTACACTACACTACACTACACTACACTACACTACACTACACTACACTACACTACACTACACTACACTACACTACACTACACTACACTACACTACACTACACTACACTACACTACACTACACTACACTACACTACACTACACTACACTACACTACACTACACTACACTACACTACACTACACTACACTACACTACACTACACTACACTACACTACACTACACTACACTACACTACACTACACTACACTACACTACACTACACTACACTACACTACACTACACTACACTACACTACACTACACTACACTACACTACACTACACTACACTACACTACACTACACTACACTACACTACACTACACTACACTACACTACACTACACTACACTACACTACACTACACTACACTACACTACACTACACTACACTACACTACACTACACTACACTACACTACACTACACTACACTACACTACACTACACTACACTACACTACACTACACTACACTACACTACACTACACTACACTACACTACACTACACTACACTACACTACACTACACTACACTACACTACACTACACTACACTACACTACACTACACTACACTACACTACACTACACTACACTACACTACACTACACTACACTACACTACACTACACTACACTACACTACACTACACTACACTACACTACACTACACTACACTACACTACACTACACTACACTACACTACACTACACTACACTACACTACACTACACTACACTACACTACACTACACTACACTACACTACACTACACTACACTACACTACACTACACTACACTACACTACACTACACTACACTACACTACACTACACTACACTACACTACACTACACTACACTACACTACACTACACTACACTACACTACACTACACTACACTACACTACACTACACTACACTACACTACACTACACTACACTACACTACACTACACTACACTACACTACACTACACTACACTACACTACACTACACTACACTACACTACACTACACTACACTACACTACACTACACTACACTACACTACACTACACTACACTAAACTATACTATACTATACTATACTATACTATACTATACTATACTATACTATACTATACTATACTATACTATACTATACTGCACTACACTTCACTGCACTCCACTCCACTACACTACATTACACTACACTATATTACTCTGACTTGCTCAACCGATAAAAATAATTAAAGAAAAAGAGAGAGAAAACTGAACAACCCGATTCTTCATCTTCACCTGAACTATTCTTGCTTCCTTCATCTCTAACATCCAGGATTCACACTTTCTCCTTTTTATAATTTTCTTTTCTCTTCTTTTGTGCTCCCCTCAATTGCATAAGTAAATCTCGTTCCTGCTTTCAGTTTCGTTCTCAAGTTTGCACCTCAAATTCGTACTTAATTGTTTCAATTTCAGATTTGCAAAGTTTATTTTTGTCAATAGTTGTCAATGTTGAAACTTGAATGATGGATGACAGAAGACGGGGGCGGGCCTGCTTGGATTAAGGGGTGGATGGCTATGAAGAACAGTTGGCATGGGGGCACGTCGAAGAACAACTCTGATGTTGATGAAGACGGACGCGGCCGTTGCGTTGAAATTCTACAACGGCCTTGATGGTGGTGATGGAACAAAGAAGAGTCAACATCTATGTTGGGCCCAGGTTGTGCGAGTGGATAAAAAAGTTAAGTTTCGCCCAAGGCATGAAGCAAATAAATAAAGCCCAATCTGGAAGGAGAGGCAGATGGATTGGCACACACGTCACTAAGGAGATAACGAGTAACAGTTTCCAACCGTTCATCGCATGCAAAGGGAAAGGAGTAAAAGTTAGTTGGCGGTTAAGGTGAAGCAAGCAGAGGCGGACCGTAGTAGAGACCCAGGGGGGCTACCGCCCCCTCAACAAAATATTTTTTAGTGTATATATATACGAAAAATAATTTTTGCTCTCCCAAAAGTATTTTGAACCCCCCAAAAATATTTTCGCCCCCCAAGATGACTTTCCTGGGTCCGCCCTGGAAGCAAGCACGAAACTTTTGATTTATGAATAGATTGGGTTATGCTACAAAAAGGGCACGATCAATTAGATCAAGTCACCCACCTTATACTTTGTAATCGAAGCTCTCAATTTTCATTAATCCGATTAATTCTTGTTCTTGTTCTAGTTATAATATCTTCATACTGGTACGATATCCCTTTCATATATTTGTCTAGATTAGATATTTTCTGCATAAACAATTTGGCACCCATCGTGGGGCATCGTGTAAGAAAGTGATCAATCATGGCTGGAACTAGCGATTCAATGATGACCAAGTTTAACATGCAATTGGAAGCCGCCAAGGAGGAAATCCGACGGGAGATGACTTAGTTTCATGTATCCAAAGGGTGAAGGATTTGATGAGGTCTCAAGTCGAGTCTGCAACATCCATAGCCTCGAACTCCATACTCAAAAGGAGAAGCAACGCGCTGACAGCACCGACAAGATTAGAATTTGTTCCCATCCCTGCTGCAACGGAACCACCTACCAGTGACTCTGAGACCATCTCGTTAACACTAGGTCTGTCATCTTCCAATCAATCGGAATCCCCGGTAACAGTGACTTCCCAAGTCATACTGTATACACCATTTATCCCAGAAACAATGCCTATCCCCTGTGTTTCAGCTTGTTATTTCCCGGAATCGTTGTGAGTTAGGCCTAGATCGACAGGTTTGCATTCTATCACCCAAAGCCTGTTGATGCCGACTATCACATCAGCCCCACTAGATCATTTCATCCCCCATGAAAATACCAGAATTTTTGGAAACGTAGAATCGTCCAACCCTTTTTAGTTGTTCGTAACCCCAGACGAAATGTACCGGACAACTTGTTCCCAGAGTCTAAGATCCGACGAGTCCATGAACTTGTCACTTCGACTAGACCGACCCAAAGACGACGAGATCCGCAAGTGATAGTTATTCTGTCACCAACCCGATTAGAATCTGCCTAAATGGCCGGTCCTATGGTATTAATGGTGGGTTTAGCTCCAACAAACTTGGTGGATATGATGGCTATGATACTTGTTCAACTGCGGTAGGTTCAAGACAAGATCAATGGTATCCCTAGAGTGAAGCCTTGTTTGGATTTAGCTTCACAGACATGCTATGTTAACTCTCCTTTCAGCCGCCAGATCATAGATGTCGAGATCCCCAGAAAGTTTGCCATTATGTCTATGAAGATGTTCGACGGGACCTCGGATCCATTGGAACACGTAACACAATACAAGCAGCGAATGCTAGCCGTTTCAGTCAGACCAAAACAATGAGAGGCTTGTATGTGTAGAGCCTTCAGTGCGACATTGACAAGACATGCTCCGACGTGGTTCATCGATTTACCAAATGAGGGGATCAGCTTGTTTGCGTAACTCGTCAACTTGTTCAATCAGCAATTTGCAAGCAGCAAAGTCCTCGAGTAACAAACTTGTGACTTGTACTGAGTCATCCAACGCTGAGGTGAATCATTGAGGGATTACCTACACCGTTTCAACAAGGAGAAGGTGCCCATCTCAAAATGTGACATTCCTACTGCGGTAGAGGCCTCCAGAAAGGGACTACTTGAAGATTTCAAGTTATATTGAGAATTGACTAAATATCCATGCCACACCTTCGAAGATGTTCAGGCCAAGACACCGACTTTATCCAACTTGAAGAGGATCAACAATCTCGGCATCGTCATGACAGTTGTGATGGGGGCAGCGGAAGTCCAACTTGTCCCAGAAGCATGATTATAGGACGGTAAAGCTATACACCAAAACCGAAGACTGACCCGTCGCCATAGTGACAAGTTGACTAGATGACCTGGTTCTGCCACCAATTATTCAGGAGTATTGTTTCAATGTGAACATATCAGGACTCATCATTCCTTAGAAAAGTTGGGAGAAAAGGTTTGGTGGCTGAAGAAGTAGGATCAGACCACCGGACGACAGGATCCAAGCAAAAGATGTTATTTTCATGACGACATCAGGCACAATATTGAGGATTGCGTAGTATTGAGGAAGAGGTTGCATATTTTCTAAGAAACAGATACCTGAGTGAAATAATGTCAAAACACATCAAATCTCTTCTTCGACAAGATCAGAACTCGACATCCACTGAACAAAGGTGATTAACTTTATTAACGGTGGTTCAGATTTATGCAGACTAATTTATTCTGCAATAAAGAGGTATGCTCGGGAATATTCTCGAGACAAGCCACTGCAGGTTTGCAGGATCATGATGAGACAAGATGACTGGAAAAATGTCCCCATATCCTTCGATAAGACTGATATGCCTGAATCGTCAGATTCCCACCGTGACGCTTTGGTTATATCTGTGCGAGTGGCGAACTGTATGGTTAGACGAGTTCTCATATATAATGGAAGTACGACAAATATCACTACAATGGGGATGCTCAGTGAAATGGGATTCAAGGAGGATATATCGAAGACGGGATCCACATTTGTCGGGTTTTAACATCCAGGTGAAGTTTGATGTGGTCCAAAAATTGCCAGCATACAACACGATCTTAGGCACTCCTTAGCTTCACCAAATGGGAGCAATATCGTCAACTTTCCATCACGTTGTCAAATTTCCGATGCCTTGGGGGTGCAAGCTATCAAAGGAAACAAAGCAAAGGCTAAATCTTGTTATCAAGCCGCCTTGAAGCCGACGACAATCCAAACCACATCGACATAGCAACTAAAGGGTGATCCGGCTCTGGAAGATGAAGATGACGAGAAAACAAAGGAAATCGTCATTGATCCCTGCCATCCAGAACAGTTCATCTGCATTGGGAGAACCTGCTGACGGAACTCATAAAAAAATTTATTGAGTTTT